CATATACACTTCCATAAATTAAAAGGAATGAAGTTATTATAGTTAATATATGCAAATCGTTATCAAATCGTATATTTTCCTTTTCTTCCATTACATGTGTGCGATATATATAAATATATAAACTATGTTACATGCGTTATATGCGTCTCTAATTATTTTTCCCTAGCAAATTTCAATTGAACCTAAAGCCGCCACGTCAATTTAATTGATATGCTAATTGATTGACAACTAAGCAAGGTTACTTTTTAATTAATACAAACTTGAGGTTACATCTTTTCAAATGTTTCTCAATTAATATATAGGGGATTCCTTGTGCGATCCGAATGAAGAATCCCTCCAGCGTTTCAAATATTCCGTTTACAGTTAAATCTCTTGACTGTGTGATTTAGATTTCAGTATTTTTGTTAACATTTATTGTTAAAGATGAATTCAAGTTGCAATATAAGGATTGCTTAATTACTTTTTTATTTAAGATATTAACTAGATATATTTTATCCTATATAGCATTTTTATTATATAGTAAACTAATCCATTTGAAAATTAATAAAACATTTAATTGGAAAAAAGAAAGACTAATCAAGAAAACAAAAATAGAGATGAGAAGAAAATCACGCTAGGCCTTGGATCGCCTTCGAACAAAGGACCAGTTGAGAAGCTAAGTTGGGGCCTCAATGTCAATCCGAGTGTGTAATGTAACACAGCTCCTGAAACATCACATCACCTCACTTGTTATTTAATTGTGTTTACTCAACTACAGTGTGGCTTGCTTTCTTCAACCACCCAGCTTTAAATCCTCCATCAGGCTTAACTGAAGTTATCACTTGGGTTCAAACAGTGTATATTTCCTCTAAGGCTCGGTCCATATCTGTCACCTCATTTTCCAAGCAGCAACCTACTTTATTTTGGAGGAAACTAAAAAGCTAGATTACATTCAGCAGAGGAGCCACAACCGAACACTTTGGTAAAATAGATTCGTCTTCTCCTTGGGGCAAAAATGGCTGCCCTGGAAATGAAATCAAGATCCAATAGAATCGGCCTAACCCTCAATCATCATGAGCTCAGACCAGCTGTTGAAGAATCCTTTCTTTACTTCACTTTAGTTTCAAATGAGATCGTTGTTGTTACTTCCACCTCTGATGTAAGCAACTTTTAAATAGTCTCTCTTTCAAAGAAACAAAAGAAATAAAAGTACTATTCAGAAAAGAAAAGAAAAAATTCTGAGGCCAGGAATATGAGAGAGCCTTTGAGTAGCCCAAAACACTGAATATGTTGATAAATGAACAACAACGTACATGTATAAAATCATACCCGGTGATGACAATACGAACATATCAAAGCATGATCTTACTTTAAAGAAATAAAACTCCATTTTTATTTTATTAGTATATCGAAATAGAGATGATAGCGATCATGGTGATGGTAGTTGTGATGATAATTAAGCTTTGAGGACGTGGTCGTCCATGTCAGCAGCCATGCTCTTAACGAATTTCATGTAGTTGCTTGGTTCAGGGAAGTCATCGTTATGCTTCTCCCATATCATAGTGATTTTGCAGACGCAGCCATCCTCAGATTTGGGAATAAACTCGAAAATGACATCATACACCTTGAGCTGTTCCATCACGTGGCCTTCAAGTCCTCTAAACGTCACCGTTTTCTTCTCATCGTCTATCTCCCTCCTTTCCTTGAATACCTCCGGCTTGCCATCTTTTTATACACGAACACATGTGTTCTTTAAATTTGGATCGGTCAATTTTTATAATAATATCTATATCTATATATATATATATGCTAAAGAAGCCAATTTCTTTTTTTTTTCTAACCCTAAACAAGGCCTCATATATATTCCCGAGGTACTTTGTGAGAAATCGGAACAACTATATATATTCGTTTTCTTAATTTTTATTATTAGTCTTATATAACAATAGATCATTATCATAAATTCACTACTATGACCTTAGTTTCATACACGGCCTGTAGTTAACTCAATAGTGTGTCTTTGTGAGCGTATAAAGTGCTGGAATATATATATAAACATAAGTAAAGGGTATAAGTAATACCGCATGTGTGTATATATAAACACAATAGTTAACTCAATAGTGTGTCTTTGTGAGCGTATAAAGTGCTGGAATATATATATAAACATAAGTAAAGGGTATAAGTAATACCGCATGTGTAGTTCCAAGTCTTGATAGCCCCGTGAGAGTCCCATTCACCGTCGTGAATGGTGACATTTTGGATGTGGTGGCCGATGGCGTCAGGGAAGACGTGGTTCTCGTTCCTCCACCTCTTGTAGTGTTTCTCCGCGTTCCCTTTTAGCGGCACTTCTGTCACGTATGTTCCTGAGGTCGCCATTTCTCTCTATCGGTTTAAAGCTTCGGCTTTGTCTTTCTTTTTTTTTTTTAGTTTGTTTTGGCTGATGAAATAACACTTGTCGTGGCCACGGTTTATATAGTGATGAACCTGACGGTAAAAACATGTTTATATCGTTACTTTGATGAGTTATGTAATGTTAATTTTTCAAGTGAAATCAGATTCGCAGTCGCATTAAGGCATTATGAATGTGGGTGGTTGTTGGCACCGCATCATTTAGAAGATAATAGTGGCCATACACATTTATGGTGTGTATTTCTTCTGTTTATTTTTCACCTACGCTATTAATTGAGCATTATTGCTATTGGGTCAACAAAGAGAGTGATTTGTCTATGTAAATTCTACGCTTCACAAAGATTTAATCATGATTTCATCGTTTAATCATGATTTCACCTTTTGCGGACTATAGTGAAACTCCTCTTACGAAGTGATCTTGTAAACTATATTCTAGGCTTCACTGAGCCGAATCCAAACCTTCAAGACTTCTTGTATGCTCAGTCATGACGTTTCATAACTGTTACGAAACTGTCTCGAATCACTCTCACTTGCATCAAATATCTAAGCACTCACGTCTATAATTACACAAAGAGAAAATTCTTCACAAGCTTAATTTACTGTTGGAGATCATTAATCAATATACATACTAGTATATTTTATAGAAAATAAATTACATGATCGAGTTCGATCCTATTCAGGGCATGGTGCTGCATTAAATTGTTCGGACTGGGTTTGCTAGTTTTTAGCTGGACTCCATTATGAATTGTTGCCGGAAAAATAGAAAGGCGGACTTTTGTGTGACCTAATTTTTTGGGCATATCCTAAAACTATTAATTACATCTTTTTAATGTTCTCCGTGTCTATCAATAATAAATACTTTTTCCATTCCATATTAAGTGTCGTTGTAAAAAAAAAAATTATTATAAAATAAATATCATTTTTGGTTTTCAGTATACAAAATTTATTAACTTTATTATGTAATTTGTTTTTCTATTGCTTAAAATGTGATTAGGTATATAAATAATTTTGTTTTTATATAGAAAATAGGTAAAATTAATTGTTTCTTTTAATTCGTAAGCACAACTTTTAAATAACACTTATAATGAAACACAGAGAGTACATGTCTGGAAAATAATCAAAATCAACTTAGATTAGTCTAGTGTACCAAGGAATTGGTCCAAATCTTTAGATTATTGTGACGTTCAAATCTTTCTAGTTAGACGTTTATGAGTAAAACTTGGTTTGATCTGCGATGATAGCGGTATGGTGATTAATGTGTTTACATGACGTATCATTTGTAAGCGATAGCGGCATCTCCATATCGTCTAAGGATTACAGAAATTAACTTTCACAAGATCCCATCTTATTATATATAACTGAAAACAACGTTAACATATAGGGATGATGACGATCATAGATTCATAATTAATGATGATATTTGATTGGGATGATGATGAATTGATGATGCTGATTAAGCTTTGAGGACGTGGTCCTCCATATCAACAACCAAGCTCTTGAGGAGTTTCATGTAGTCGCTTGGTTCGGGGAAGTCATCGTTGCGCTTCTCCCATATCATAGTGATTTTGCAGACGCAGCCATCTTCAGACTTTGGAATAAATTGGAATATGAGGTCATAAACCTTGAGCTGCTCCATCACGTGACCTTCAAGTCCTCTAACCGTCACCCTTTTATTTTCATCGTCTATCTCCCTCTTCTCCTTGAAGATCTCCTTCTTCCATCTTTATATATATGCATGTGTTAAATTTGGTTCATATCATATATATTGATATGCAATGATCCGATAAATTTTCAACATCAGAGTTTTGACTTGAGTTGAGCTGTATATATATTAGTCCAAAGCCGGTCTTGAGCATAGTCAACTGGAACTTTGATTTTATGTTACAATATTTTTTCAAATTAATGTAAACATAGGCCCCAAGTTAAAGATTACTAAAATCCTCAATAAATTGTTATGCCTCCAAAATCTCAGTAGCCCCCAAAGTACTACAAAAACCGTCACAACTTATTCACCTCAGTTATGTTGTATATATGAAGTGTTAACTATAAAGAGAGAATCAGGTATAAGTAAAGGAATACCTAATGTGTAGTTCCATATCTTGATACCCCCGTGAGAGTCCCATTCCCCGTCGTGAACGGTGACACTTTGGATGTGGTGGCCAACGGCGTCAGGGAAGAGATGGTTCTCGCTCTTCCACCTCTTGTAGTACTTGTCCACTGTTCCGTTTAATGGAACCTCCGTCACATATGTTCCCGACGTCGCCATTTCTCTCTCTTGTTGTTTTTGTGTTGTTTGGTTGATGAAATAATACTTTGCCTTGGTTTATATAGTGAAGCTGATGGTTCAGGACATGGTTCCTTTCTTTTTCAACCTACACTATTTTATGAACATTATTGAATCACTGAAATGTACATTTTGGATTGATAAATCCTCGACCACGTTGTTAACGAGGGTAACTGGACCCATCACGCTTTAGAAGATATCCTCATACACACTGATTGCGACGAAAATATTAGGCCGTGTGTATATTTTTGATACTACAGTATTTGATTGTGATTAGGACAAGTAACCTACTAATTTCTGCTAATAGTGGGTTGTGTGTGCCATCATTAAGAAATAAAGCCACGTAACACACTTAAAAGTAATGTATGTGGGAATTAAATCTGGGCATTTGATCCTCAATTTGCTCAGTTTGTAGATATTCCAAAGTATTCTTTCATCTCATATGGAGATTATTATATTGAGAGGTCACAGTATGTAATCTTTGAATTAGTAAAGTAATCATTGACCACAATGAGGGTAGTTGGCCCATCATTATTTAGACGATAATCATTCCTCATGCACACTAATTGCAGAATCAGTAAATAATTTTTTTATTAAAGTAATCTAATAATTTATGACGATATCGTTGTCATTCAGATTTATGATGACAAATTTAGATTACTAATAGCCATTGTTTTGGCAGACTTTATGGTATTTGCCAAACTCTATAATGATATCAGGCATAAGTTTTGCATATTTGGCAGATTTTATGTATTTTATTAAAATAGATTATTTTTAAAAAAATCACCCTTTAGAAAAACTCCAACTATAACACCAAACTTGATGTTGAAATAACACAAATTGGTGTTCTGGATGTTAAATTCTATTTTCCATCACCAACCACAATACCATTTTACACAAAAATAATATTCTTTATTATTTTATTTTTGATACATTAATTATTAATTATTTACTAATTATTATTTATCACATTTACATTTTATGGTTGTTTCTTAAGATCTATAATTTTATTTTTTCAATATGTATTTATATTTATGTTTTTTTGGTTTTAACTAATCTATATATTAATTTATTTTATGTAAAAAATCATTTACATTTACACATGTAGACTACTAAATATGAAAAATACAGAATAAAATGATAATTATTTTAATAACATTTTTATTTTATTAATAATACTTGTTTAGCTATATTACTAAATGTAAAAAAAAATATACCAAATCTAAAATAAAATGATAATTATTTTAATAACACTTTTATTTTATTAATAATACTTGTTTAGCTATACTACTAAATGTAAATAAAATATAATATATCAATGTTTAACATGACTAATAATAATACATAAAATATAAATATAAAATCATATGATATATTTATTTAAGTTATAAATTTAAAATAATTAGTAATATTTTGGATATATTTTTTAGTGAAACAGAACATCAAATTTGGTATAAGAATATTTACGAAACACTAAATATGCTGTAATTGTGTTATTCTTGTAGGCTAATTAAAAATAATATCACACCAAAATTTGATGTTCGGGAGTCATGTTCTTGAGTATCAAATGGAGCAAATCAAATTACTAAAACTGGCTCAGGCTGATTTTTTTCTTTTTGTAATCTGAATTTCTTTGTTGGGCTGAAAGACAAAAACGTGGGCTGGGATTTTGTATCCTTTTTCTTTCTACTGGGTTTAGAGCACCCCCACAAGGATTCAGATGAAGGTTCACACATTTTTCAAAAAAAAAATATTAAAATAAGGAATAGTGATGAATCTGCCTCTTGCAGACTCTCTGTGGTGAACCCGGTTCATCACTGTAGCGCGGATCCCGGGACACGTGGCGACCCGCGGTTGGTCAATTTTTTTTTTCTTTTTTAAAAATAAAAAATAAATCAAAAAGAAAATCAAAATGTTTTAATAATAAACAATTGAATCAATGAACTTCAAGAGGGAGTTCATTGATGTGGATGCTCTTAGATAACATAGGTTTATCAAAGAAAAATACTGTCTTTTTTTCTTGAAACAAACTTTTAATTAAACACTCTAACCAGAGTTAGGTGGTGTCATAATGGTGAGTTCAACAACCAGAGACTGTTTAGCTAAGCTATCAGCATTCCTGGTACCAGACCCGGTTCTACACATGTGCTAGCAGTGCAAAAGCACAGGCTCTTTAATTTTTTCCTTGAATTTCTGTAAGTATTGGGGCCCTAATTTATTTCTGTCGTTCAAAAAAAGGGCCCTAAAGTTCTGTAAAAAAAATAGAAACAGAACTGGAATAGAGAGATAATTCAGCATGTGTTTTTACTTTTTATAGTGAAAGTGTAAAGCCCACTCATAATTTACAAGTCACTGATCTATAACCAAATATAATTGAGTTAATTATTTAAACATTTTTTTATAGCACAGGGCCCTTGCAATCTTTGAGCCGGGCCTGCCTGTTACTCTCTCGAGAAGTCCAGGATAAAGAAAAAGATTCAAAAGAAGATACAGCAGAAACTATGTCTGCAATCACTCCAAATATTTCAGCAAACGAAGAATCCACGGTGTCTGCTTTAAGAATGAGATGGAGAAGACTAATATAGCTTAGCTAAAAAAAAAAAAAAAAAAAAAAAAAAAAAAAAAAGCTTAGAAAACAGAGCACACGTAAAATCTGCAACATGGAAACAACGAATTGCAAATTTAAGTGGTGTTATCGGGTACGATCATCAATCTCTTAAAAAAAAACTTTAAGATCATCAATCTTTGGAACAAATCATCATTGTTTTTTTTTTGCTAAAACAAATCATCATTGTTGTTTACAGTTTGGGCGCGGAGAGACATTAATATGTTGATTATACCCTTTTGAATATTGATCACCATTTGGATATGAGTTTGGTGTTGACTGGAAATCTTCTTTTGTTTTGTTCTCGTCAAATGCTACAAATTATTGCTTGGAAAGCTAAACGAACAAAAAGATAAATTAATAATCAGCTAACCTAAAGTCAAGCTGGTTATGAATCAGGAAGTGAAATGTAATGTCTCCCCTTTTTTCTTGGAGGAGAAATGGTTCTTGAAATCATTGGACCATAATTCCTTAAATAATACATCCTATCCAGCATCATCATTCTTGAAACCATATGTTCTTTTACATTTTTTACTTAAGTGGCATTTTCCTAATTCGTCTTTCATTCTACTTTATAATCCACTTGACCAATTGTTTTGTTTTCTACGACTCCTAACAATTGAGGCAACATGAATTTTATGAATTAAAAAAATAACAAAAACACACATCAACAACACAAAACAAAACAAAACAAAATCACTTAATTATTAGTAGCACATTTTTATCTTTGTGTCAACACAAATTGCAAAAATAGAACACATATAAAAGTACTTAGTAACATTCATAGAGTTTAATATCCATCTTAACACGGAAATACTTAGCCCCTTGAAATATATCCGTCACGAAGGTAGCGATCCCACGAGCCATGAAGAAATCACCAGTCCCACCAACGACCGATAGATCTCTTGTCGGCTCCATCATCAAATCCGCACCCATTATATTCAGTGTACCTTTGTGTTCCGTCGAGTTAAACACCAAGGTGTAGCAAAACCACGCATTGTAATCAGTCTTCATGTCATAGAAGTAGAAGCCTTGTGCACGAGCCAGGGGCTCTGAGAGATAGTTCTTGTCCATCGTTATTGGGTCGTCAAAGATCACAAACTTACCGAACTTAAAGTTTCCTAATCCAGGAGGGCTCACGATAGCGGCTGACGTTGCGTTTGCTACGTTGTCGCCATCGTAGAGGATGTCATGGAAGTAGAAGGAGAAATGTTTGCATGGTTTTTTCTGATCCATTGTTTTTCGGGACGAATAAACAGTATCGGAGAAGAGTAGAATTAGAAGGAAGAATGAGAAGAGTGATTTGAAGAGTTGTTTCTCTACAAGAGATGCCATGGTTAGGTAGAGGACGAATAGAGTGAGTTGTGTGTAATGAAGATTGCTCAAACCCCATTTATATAGAAGTAGTATTCACTTAGTATAACGAAGAGAATTTATTTAAATAAATGAAAGAAGTTTAAAATTGGTTTGGGAGACTTCTAGATGGGTTGTTGATGTTTTGTCAATTTAAACTTAATAATCCAAATGATCGTGAAAAGAAGGTTTAAGATCATGTGGAAGGGACGAACGCGTGATTGGTGGAAGCCAGTTATAATTTCACTTTCTTGAAAGGTTTAAGGATTTAATACTATCAAACCGTTTGGTGATCACTGTATGGTCCAACCTAAAAGCATAAAGTCGAAGGCTGATTAAACAGCAAGTTGAGTGTATAATAAATAAACCTAAAATTGACACAAAGGAAACTGTTCAGCGAAAATTGCCTTAAAATCACGGACTCCCATCACTCATGTGCCGTCCATATGGTTACATTTAGGTAACTTGTACAATAAAACACCAAACCACGTTCTAGCTTTGCTTCTAAGGTTGCTACTAATTACCATTTTTTTCGTTGATGGAAATTTTATATTATACCGAAATTTTTCTAGTTTTTTTTTTTTTTGAAGCCTAGCTTTAGTATCTATTATACTTGATTTTTTTTTTACTTTGACAATCCTATAATTTGATTAATTTAGTAAGTTTTAAGAATGTATAAAGATATGCAAATGATAGTAAGCGCACATACAAAAAATTGGGACTCCGCTCCACATACCTGTGGTTGGACTGTAACGTGTAGCGACGCTAGCTTGCTTGACTGAACGATTAATTCTACAAAGTGGGGATACAGTACTTGTTTCGTAATTGAGAAAACTAATTATCTCAGATTATAGAGACCTATATAAATTTAAAGATTTAAAACTTTACCCTTTTTGGATAAATATTACATTTTTGACACAAAACCATCTATACGATTATATAAGAAGTAAATTTGCTTAGTTGTCAACTTCTCCTTGATTTTAGGTAAATTTGTTTATTTACCTTATTTAAATAATTTCATATATAATTTATTATTTAATAAAAAACGAATTTATATTAATAATATTATATTTTAAAAAATATGTTAATTATTTTGTATTAGATTGTTATCTTAAAAATATATTTTTATTATAAAATTCAAGTGAATTAATGATTGATTTGTAATTTCTCCATATTTTTGTATTTTTTCTTATTTGTTATTTTTTTTAATAATTTATCATATAATAAAACGAATTTCTATTAATAATATTATACTTTTAGAGAATAAGATAATTCTTATATATTATATTGTTATCGTTAAAATATATTTTTTATCATATGAATTAAAAATTAAGTTAAAATATTAATAGTTAAATATAAAGAAAGCAATACTGATTTATCAACTTGTATATGGTTTTATATTTTGCTTATTTATCATATTTTAATAATTTCATATATAATTTATTAAATAATAAAGAAATGTATACTAATAATACTATATTTAAAAAAAAAAAAGATAATTCTTATGTATTAGATTGTTATCTTGAAAATATATTTTCTATTAGAAAATTTAAGTGAATTATCTGATTTGTAATTTCTCCATGATTTAGATAATTTTTATTATTTTCATATTTTTAATAATTTCATATAAAATTTATTATAAAATAAAAACGAATTTCTATTAAAAAAAATATATTTTGAGAAAATAAGATACTTTTTAAGTATTATATGTTATCTTGAAAATATATTTTTATTATAGAAATAAAAAATTAAGATAGAAAAAATTATAATTAAAATAAATTAAAGCAACATATTTGTAAAAATATATTTTTAAAGATATTTTGTTATGTGAATGTTGTCATTTATAATTAATTTTTAAACATAAATCATAACTTATTATAATGGTTTGAATTACTAAAATAAAGACTAATAATAAATTGTATAAAAATTATGCCCGCATGTGCGGACAAAACACCTAGTTTAAAAGGAAATACAAAGTAGTGATGTCATGTAATGCTTTATCGTTTATTTTTGTTTCTTAAAATCACGAATAAAAACTTGGATTAGTGAGTGGCAAAGGATCATGTATATATATAATACTTTACATGATTATTTTAGTTTGGCCATAAATGTATAATACATGGCCATGCTCATGGAGAGCAATTATTCCCTCTATCGCTTTACTTTCGGTGTAAGACTAACACATAAACTAAGAAACATTCGATAAATTAAGAATACAACTAGATTTTGACCCGCGCAACCGCGCGGATGTTTGTTTTCGTTTGGTTAGTTATATAAACAATTTCTTTTCACTTGTAAATTGATATATATTATAGTAATCACATATTTACGATATGTGTAGTAAATGTTTTTCAAACATAAAATATTATATAATGAGTGTTTTAATCAAATAGATTGTTACAAATTTTCTATATTATACATATTTTTCAAACATGTGTTTGTTTCTTCTTCTATATTTTATTTTTGTTAGATTAGTATTTCATTTTTAGATAAAGTAATAAAAATAGACCTTGATTAAATATTAATGTATTTTAATTTGCAAAGATAATATAAACTTCGAAGAAATTTTTGCTAAAAACTAAAATTATAGCTTCATAAATTAATATTATAAATAACTTTATTAAAAAAAGAAAATTTTAAACATTTTTTTAAAACAATATAATTTTAAAAATTTACATCGAAATAAATTTATCTAATATATATAGCGTGTAAATCTTGTTAAGGTATATAAATATTCCATATTACTAATCTGTGATTTTTGTTAATATATTGTGAATGCATTTAACTATTATTAACATATTTTCTTATAAATAATAGAAGATTTCTAAACTTATATCTATTGACATATTTTGTGTGACTAAGTTGGAAGGCGTGGGATAATTTACCAAAACCAAATTGTTAAGCGTATTATAAGCTATAATAATGATAAGATTATTAGAGAGTTAATGTAACATAACTTTTTAGTAATAGTCCATTTTTTAAAAAATCACACATGAAATCAAGTCATGACTTCTGTTTTAATATATAAGATTTTCGGCAAGAAGGATTTATTTATTATGAAAAAAAAGTATTAAGAAACTTTACTCTCTCAATTTATTATGAAAACTAATTAACTACGAGTAAATAATATTTGTCACTAACACCTTTCCTAATACATAAACATAAGCATAAAAAAGGCACAAAGTCAAGCAAGAGGGTTTATTTTCTGTTAAACAATTCCAAGGGGTTTAGTGGCCTACCTCTTTTGTCCCTTACTGATTCCAAACTCTACCTATGTCGAAAGCAGACGGTGTTTGGTTTATGAAAAAAGCTTGAGAAAACATAATTCACAAAGAACTTATATTGCGTACAATTGCAACAAAAAAAAAAAGGAAAGAATACTACTTCGAATCGAAACCATGAAGCCGAAGTTACTATTGAATGTTTTCAATTAAAGCATCTTAGCAAAGTTTGTTCTAGGGCTGGGCAAAAAAAACCGAACCCGAAAATCCGAACCGAATCCGACCCGATAAAAAGGAACCCGAACCGATCCGAACCCGACATAAGTACCGAATGGATCTTGTTTTACGGTATTTCGGGTTATGGGTATTACCCGAACCGAACCCGAACTTAAATGGATATCCGAAAGAATCCGAAACTTTAAAATTCCAAAAAAAACTTGTATCATATCCAATCTAAATTTCTAATATATTTCCAAAACAAATTAATATATTATTGAGTACCTACAATAATTAGTTATGATATAAATAATTAGCTCAAATATTTAGTCTAATATATAGTGTTATTTGGTTAATATTAATGTTTATGATTGACATTACATTTGAAGTTAAGTTACGAATAAATTTGTTTTGAAGTTTATATAATGTTGTTTTTTAAAGTTTAAATAGTACTTCTTATGTTTNGTTCAATGACAAATCTTATATGGTTGATAGATGAGTTTCACAATATTATTTTGAAGGAGAACAATATGGTTTGTAGAAGCTAAATACACAAATTTAATAAAATGATTGAAAATATAGTGAGTTTAATTGAGTATAAATTAGTATTTTTAGAACCGATAACCCGATTAGTATCCGAAACCGAAACTATTTCGGGTTCAACTGGATCTTGGACATGTTACTAAACCCGAACCGAACCCGACTAAATCCAAACCGAATCCGACCCGAATTTTTATAATATCCGAATGGGGCTAAAATTCATGAACCCGAAAACCCGAATGAACCCGAATCGAAACCCGATTGGGACCCGATTGCCCAGCCCTAGTTTGTTCCATCGGGTTTGCTTATGTGTAGTGTATTACATTGGCTTAGTAAAAGGAAGCTAAACCAACTGGCGCAATAAATAACCAGTATATGATCTAATAGATACTATGAAAACTTAATAACATATCAACTTACGCTTTGTAACAAGTCCACTTAAAATGGTAAAGTAAAACAGAACTGATATCAGACCATCATTTCTTAACTTGACGGTAGAGTCTTGGTTTTTGTTTGATTCAACATATCAAAAGGGGGTCGAGAGCTATAGGATTAGAAAACACATGATAATCAAACTTTCCTAACTAAAATCCAAATAGCCAGCCAATGTGGTACCAATGTGATGGACCTTAATCATACCAACCAGTGGTAAAACGATTTGACAACTAATTCAACAATTGTCAGGGTACGATAAGTTCTTTCTAAATTATATAAAGATTTTAGAATTACAACCCTTTGTTGGAAATTCTAGAATTACTTCTGTACATTCAATAATAATTAAATATGATTGTAGTGGGAATAGAGCATAACAAACATTTTCATTTATATATATATATATATATATATATATATATATATATATATCAGATTTTCTAAGAATGTCAATATTCTTTCGTTTCAATATAAATGTCATTTTAACATATTTTACGGAAATTAAAACCATTGTATAATATTCTTTCTGTTTTTTTTTATTCGACGATATAGCAATTTTCACATAAATTACTCCACCCACTACAATATCATTTCTATTCTTTATTAATTGAACATTTGGTATCGTAAAGCATATAGGAACAGATTAAATATAGGGTAAACATGGTCTTTTATCACTAGAACTAGATTTTATACTCGCGCTACGCGCGAGTCTGTATTAATAATTTAATTTAGTTTTAAAATAACTTAAAACGAAAACATTAAGTGAGTAATATAATTTTTTATTTAAAATATAATCATTATTTTAGTATTTATATTTTCTTATAATTATGTTATCTTATTAGCTATTTAGTTATTTGTATTTGTAAATATAATAATTATGTTTGTAAACATATTCATAATTTTTGGAAATATTAATATATATTTCAAAATATTAAATAGATTTCTCAATGC